TAGCCGAAATGCATAAAACAGAGCCTGAAACTAATGAAAGCACCCCAAAGGCAAGTAATCATCCCCTGCCTTTTTAGGGTCTTAATTTCAAACTACAATTACTTGTCACTTTGATATTAATTTGTTGGAATGGTTTGATAGATGAATGTGGCAATGGCAAGTATGATTGTCCCCGAACTTCTGGAAAGAGGCAACTATAAGAAATGGAGTATCTTCATGAAAAACTACTTAGTTTCTCAAGATCTTTGGGTGGTGCTTACTCATGAGGGCTCCCTCGCTCCTAAGTTCCGCTGCTTCATTCCTACTGGAATCTCGAAAAGGGAGTGGAGAAGAAAGGCAGCTGCCGCTCTGCATGCAATTCAGATTTCATGCGGAGCAGAAAAATTTAATCGGATAAAGAATTGCTATTACGCAATAGACGCTTGGCATGAGTTGAAAAAACTAAACGCTGAAGAGAAATCAAAAATAGATAATTCAGGTTTGCTACTTCTGTCTTTATATGACATCCTATATTTAAGATTGCATTTAACTCAAATGAATTTGGCAAAAGATGTGAAATTTTACACGCATGCAATTCTATATATTCTTTTGGTTGGTATTATTAAAATGTGTTGAGTTCAATTTCAAACTTTTAAATCATGAGTTTAATTCTAATTAATCTCACTTCCGAACATCATGAAGAAGAAGAGGAAGAAGAAGAGGAAGAAGAAAAAGAAGAAGACGGTGATGATGATGATGATGATGATGATGATGATGATGATGATTATGATTATGATGAAATTCCAAATGATGATGATGATGATGATGTAGAAACTTCAAAGGTAATATTAGCATTTTTTTTTTTTTTGTTGCGTTTTTCCCGTCTTTGGGGATGTTTAGCTTTCAAATTGGCCGCTTGTCATGTGGATATTAATTTGATGGTATATTTATGATTTTATAGATTACTGCTGCGAATATGATTGTCCCCGAACTTCTAGGACGTGACAACTATGAGAACTGGAGCATTTACATGAGAATCTATTTAGTTTCTCAGGATCTTTGGGATGTTGTTACACTGATTATGCCTGATTCTGGACTTTATACAAAGGAATGGATTAAAAAAGATGCTTCCGCTCTGCATGCAATTCAAATTTCATGTGGAGCAAGAAAATTGGCGCTGATAAGGCGTGCTAAATCCGCCAAAAATGCTTGGAATACTTTGCAGTCAGCCGCCAAAAAAGAGTGGTCGCAAATTGATGATGAGCGTGATATTGCTTATTGGTTTCGAATAATAGGTCTGCCACCTCTTTCTCTCTCTCATCCTTTGATTTTCGCGGCTATGTTTTGGTTTCTACGTAGCTCTAGGCTTACTTATATTAGCCATTAAAGAAAGAGATATACCCTTTTTCGCAAAATATTACTGTAGTTATTTTTTATTTTCTTTTAATATTAGAAATAATTTATATTTTTATTTATATTAAATTTAATAAAAGTAATATAAATAAAAGTTTTTTATGATATGATAAATAAAAGTAATATAAATAAAAGTTTTTTATGATATGATAAATAATTGAAGTTAAAGATAATAATAAAGTTAATAAATTATTTAACTCTATTAAA